AGCGATGAGGGCTCCCCTCAGCCTCCTCTGCTCCAGGCTGAACCCCCCCAGCTCCCCCAGCCGCTCCCCAGCAGCCTGGGGCTCCAGACCCCTCCCCAGCTCCGTTGCCCTTCTCTGGACACGCTCCAGCCCCCCCAGGTCCTTTGGGGAGGGAGGGGCCCAACCCTGACCCCAGCACTCGAGGGGCGCCCTCTTGGTACAACACTGCACCTACAAAAGGACTGTGAGGCACTGGTGCTTCAAAAACACTAAAAATATTATTTAAAGAATGAAGCAGACTCTCTCCTCTGCTGCTGATATAGTCATTCCAGACCATAAAGAAGTGATGAACTGTAAAAACAATTTTTCTTTGCTTTGTATTTCACCTTTGAAGATTAGTTGTGATCTTAAGGCTTAAAACATGGCTATGGGGATTGCCTATGATGGCAGGTACGGTATTCTGACAAATGAGGCACACACGCTCCAAGCCATACTAATAATGTGTTGGCGCACATGGAAGCTGGAGTTCAGGATATTCTTTCCTGTTTTATCAAAATCTATTGTACATAATTAACTTCTTGTATAGTCACATAAAGTAAATTTCTGTCTATGTAGTGAAACTGACTGAAATACTTTTTGTGAAGAAGCTCCCTTTCTGGGAAACACTTATTCTGAATAGGATAAACTTTGCAAGCGAAATAGCATAACCCAGAATAAAACCCCTCACTTACTCTGAAATGGGAATGTCCATATGGGGAGTTATTCCAAACTGGTTATTATCCTTTAAATTTGCAACACACCTGGTTCTGGAATAATCTGTAAACAGCAACGTTAAAAAAACCGCTTCTTTATGCCCCATCCTCCCTCCTCTCCCTGCCAAATTAATTCAGCAGTAACCCACTGGGTAGCACTAGGACAATTTTGTCTTTCTTAGCAAGAGTATATTTATAATCTTTACCAGTGCGGAGCTGACAAGATAGAGTAACTAGCCTGAATAAAAGCTGAACCTTTGTGCAATATTTTATTTGGATGTTTTTCTTATCCAAACCTCTCTCTCTCGATGTCTTTTAGGGTATCTGAATGCAAGTTAATGTGTGTTTGAAACTGAACTTGTCCCTCAGTCCTCACTGAGAAATAGCAGGGCTCAGTTTGTTGGCAAGGCAGTGATCCTATTAACTGACCTTCAGGGTATAAAAGAAACATCATTTTGGCAACATCACTTACACCGAATAAATTCTTTTGCAACATGCACATTTGTTCAATAAAATTACAGTAATAATGAGAGTTGTGTAACCAAGATTGCTAAATAACATACCATTAATTTATCAAGACTGCTTACTTTAAACTTAAACCCTTAATTGAAGAAAAGTGAAAGACACTTGAAAGAGCTGATGAGTTTTACATTGTAAGGAGTACTTGTATAACAGATGGCTGCTTTCTTTGGCTTTTCTTAATAAAACAATAGTTCTATATTCTTAAAGAAGCTTTTCTGATTCTAAAATTGACTTAAGATTAATTTCATTTTGGAGATCAATGGGTTCATAAAGCTGCAATGTTTTGCTTTTGTTTTTATGCCCTGGCTCTTTGTCATTACTTGTTGATCCAAGAACATCTCACATTTACGTTTAGCCTCAGTAAACGAAGGCAACAGGAGCCAGACTTGCTGGCTGCAGCGTGGGCTCTGTGTTGCATGACCACTGCAATCTGACCATGTTAACTGCTCCTGGAAAGGTGGTCAAAAATAAGGATTAAAGTCTGTTGTGTAAAGTTAGCTTAAAAGGAAATTATTATATTTATAGAAATAAATTGGATCAGATAGCACAAACTCGGTAACTGCATTATCATTAATGCTTACACCAAATTCTCATTTAACATCTTAGTGTGCTTTGCCCCTTTTATGGAATGGCTTAAATGGGAGACTTCATGGCATGGAATCTGTCTAATCACATTTGTTTAGTATCCAGCTCAGAGTGCTCCAAATCTTAACATCTTGCTTGTTTTGAAAGGCAGTTAGTTAATAAAATTAGAAGCAGGACATAACTGAGATAACATTAATAGTCATGAAACTGGAGAAAGACAGGAGAGAGAGAATTTTGGGAAAAGACAGGCATTAAGACATAGCCCTGCCTTTTAGTGACTGCTGTCCTGACAAACAGTGTCCCGCAGATCATGTTTTATTCCAGGAGAGGGCTTTTGCAGAGACCACAGGCAACAAAGCCATTCGTTCTGGAAACACGCACGGTGGCAAATGGATGTTCTCTAATTCATCTCTACATCCTCACAGCAGTACAAGGTAGGCATGAGGCTGGCTTCTTCCAATTAGCTTCCTCTGACAGAAATATTCCATTTCCCTCTCAGCTGGGAGGTCTTCACAAAATACTACTGAGTCTTACCTACAGTAAGATACCAATTATATGCTGATATAAAACTATTTTATGGAACTCCTTAAAAATACGTGCAATCATTTTTAGTGACAGACACTATTCAGACTTCCAAGGCAACAGTCGAAAGACTGAGGAATTAGACCCATTGCCCAATTAGGCATGAAATGAGAGAGTAACTTGATGGCAACAGGGAGATGTCGAAGCGAGCATATAGATCTTGAGGAGGTCCTGGCTGGTGCAAAGCTGCTTCTCTGCAGTAACTGTCCATGTTGTAAACAGTGGTATGAGGGGAAGCAGAAGCTCTAAAACTATTTTAAGTGTAAGGCCCAGGAAATGGGCAAGGATGAGCTTGCTTTTTTCTTTTACCTTTGGACTCCAACACATCGAAAGCAGACTAAACCAACCGACATTGCCAGGCAGGCAGTACAAGAAAAGCATGCAAGGTCTTGGGCAGGTTGGGTATCACTGTAATACCCATCAGCAAAACAATGAAGAAACCAGATTATTCCTCTCTAGCAACAGCATTTGAGAATAGACTGTTAGCTATTATTGAAGCAAGTGAAAGAATGATATAGAGCTGACAAAAAACACACTAAAAAGCAAGGAATCATGCAAATAAGCAAAAATCAATCCAAACCCTTTTTTGCTTTTCGTGAAGAAGTGATTCTGTAACAAGTGTCTCAGGAAGAACTGGCAATTACCAAGTACTAATGCCATAAAGTGGTCATCTGAATTAAGATTGTATGTCTAAATTTAGTAGACGACTGTCCCTAAGCTGACAAGGAGCCACTCAAGTCATGGCTAGTGCAAATTTGATGACTACCAGATCGAGCCCTTTAGATTCATGACAACTTCAGCTGTTAGTAGGTTGCAGCCATCTCTGAGGAGATACTTTATATATAATCTCCTACCGAAGAAAGTGCTTTAATGTTAAAATAGCTCATTATCTGGTTTCTGCAGCAAATCGATCCAAGCTCCAAGAGACAACAGCCTCAGTGCCTACACAGCTCTGAGTTGCATCCATTCTCTACCCAGAAATGAGGTGAAGAACTGTATAATGGTGGTCTTCTCCAGTTGCTAGCTCAAAGAGCATGCCACGTTTGCCATGACAAACTCAGGTTTAAAACTTTGT